TCTTCCAGAAGGAAATAACACTCCATACTTCAGAGATCCCTTCATATATCTCAGAATCCTTATAGCAGCTTGGTAATGAGACCACTTTGGTTTACTCATAAATTTGCTAACCATTCCAATTTCATAACAAATATCAGGTCTGGTATTACACAAATACCTCATAGAACCAACCAACTGTTTAAAGGTTGTAGCATCCATATCCTCTCCATCAGAAACAAAGTCCAACTTCTGATTCGTATCAGCATGTGTGATAATAGTTTTGCAATTCTCCCGCTTAAATCTCTTCATAAGCTCAAGTTCATACTTCATCTGATGCAAAATGATTCCTTTCTCAGAGTACATAAACTCCATCCCTAAAAAGTAACTCATTTTCCCAAGATTTGTCATCTCAAACTAATTCATCAGAACCTTCTTGAACTTAACTATCTCTTGATCAGAACTTCCTGTTAGCAATATGTCATCAACATACAGGCATACCAGAATGATATTTCCTTCTGAAGTGTGATGAACATAAACACCATACTCCATCTCACACTTCTGAAACCATTGTTCCTTGAAAAATGAATCAATCTTCAGATTCCAGGCTCTGGGCGCTTGCTTCAATCCATACAAGGCTTTGTGTAATCCGAACACCATCCCTTCCTTATTTTTTTTCTTAAATCCAGGAGGTTGTGACACATATACCTCTTCTTGTAATGGACCATTCAAAAATGCATATTTTACATCTAAATGCATCAGAGTCCAATTCCTGTTAGCAGCTATTGCAATCATTAGTCTGATTGTTTCATGTCTCGCTACAGGTGAAAACACTTCAGAGTAATCCAACCCAGGCTCCTGTAGAAAACATATTGCTACTAATATTGCTTTGTGTTTTCCAATTGATCCATCTGGCTTTAGCTTCTGCTTGAAAACCCATATGACGTTGATGGCTTTCTTGCCTTTTGGAAGTTCTGTCAACTTCCAAGTCTTGTTTTTCTCTATAGCATCAAGTTCTTATTTCATGGTCTGCAACCAGACTTGCTACTTAAGAGCTTATTCCGTACTCACAGGTTCAGAGTCTACTAATATTGCACACTAAATAATTTCTCCTTTAGAGTCTACTTCAGTGTCTTACAACATGTAAAACTCTACAAATCTTCTTGGGATGCTTATGAATATTTGTTGCCTCTGAACTTGAACTTCAGGAACTCGAACACCTGAACTTTCCCTTTCAGAAGCTCTTTCTTCAGAAATTTGACTTTCTCCAGAACCGTGATTGTCTTCTGAGTCTAGAAAATTTCCAGAGTCTGAATCACCACCGGATTCAGAATCAGAATCATCTTCACCTTCTGAGTCTTCTTCAGAGTCAAAGTCACCATCAGACTCGTCTTCAGAGTAAAAATATTTACCATCTTCAGAAACACGTGTTTCTGACTTTTCTCTAGGAGTTCTCTCATTAGAGTCAGAACGAGATTTTCCCAATTCCAGACTTCTCATTCTTTTACAATGACGTCTCTGTTGAACTCAACTTTGTTAGTTTCTAGACAATAAAGTTTGTACGAACCTATACTGTGGTACCCCTCCAGTAACATTACTTTACTTCTATCATCCAACTTCTGTCTTCTGGTTTCTAGGATATGTTTGTAACATATAGAACCAAACACCTTCAGATGACTAACACTTTGATTTTCTCCAATCCACTTCTAAATATGAACTATTTCCTTCAACTTCTTCGTTGAACATCTGTTGAGCACATAACATGCAGTGGCAACATCTTCTACCCACAAAGTATGAGGAAGCTTCTTCTCTTTCAACATGCTTCTCACCATATCAAGCAAAGTACAATTTCTTCTTTCAGCAAGACCATTGTGATGAGGAGTATAAGGAGCAGTAACCTCATGCTCAATTCCATTCTGCTCACAAAACCTTCTGAACTCTATGAAGTTATACTCACCACCACCACCAGTTCTAAGAATCTCCAGAGTCTGGCCACTCTGATTCTCAACCTTCAGTCTGAACTTCTTGAATTTAGCAAACACATCGTGTTTGAAATTTATGAGAGATACCTATGTCATTCTGGTGAACTCATCAACAAATGACACAAATTATTTATTCCCTCCAATTGATGCTATTGGAAATGGACCACACACATCAGACTACACTACTCTCAAGGCACACTTTGCTCTTGGAGCTACTTCTGACGCAAATGGCAATCTTGGTTTCTTCCCTTACATGCACTCCTTACATGACTTCTCAGGCTTCTTGATTGTAGGAATTCCATTTACCCGCTTCTTCAATTTCAGATTCTCTAAGCTTCTGAAATTCAGATGACCAAATATTCTATGCCATAACTCATTCTCCTTGACAACACTTGTTGCACTAAGACATTCAGAGTCCGCAGTTCTAACATTCACCTTGAATATTCTGTTCCTTCCTTGTTCTGACTCCATAATCAGCTTTTGATTACAGTTATATAACTTTAGAAGATTGTCCTTCATGGTAACTGGAAAACCTTTCTCAATCAGTTGTCCCATACTCATCAGATTGCTTTTCATGCTAGGTACATACCACACATTCTGGATCACTAATGCTTTCCCATTGTTTAGAACGACTCTGACATTTCCCATACCTTCTGTATTGAGGTATTTATCATCAACACATCTGATCTTTGTACTCTTCCCAGTGTCAAAATCTACCAACCATTTCTTGTTTCCAATAATATGGTTTGAACACCCTGTATCCATATACCACCATTCTGATGAATTCATATCATCAGACTCAGAAGCTAACAATAACACAGGTTCATCATCAGAATCTCCTCTGGCTATAATTTCTTCTTCTGACTTCCTTTCTTTGTTTGACCAGCAATCTTTGGCATAGTGACCAAAGTTCTTACAATAGTAATATTGTACATTCTTCTTGTCAGACTTCTCCTTTCCCTTCTGGACATTATTTTTCCTATCAGAGGTTGAAGCTTCTAACCTCTGACCACCATTAGTTTTCTTTCTGGCTTCTGACTAAGTCTGCTTTTAATACTTCTTACCAGAAGTTGCTTTCAGAGCCTGCTGCTCAACTTCCCTCTCAGAAGTTCTCTCAGTCATATACAATTCACGCGCCTCTAGACTACTTTGTAGCTCTTCAACTCTTATGGTGCTCAGATCTTTGGAATATTCAATTGCTACCACAATGTAATCAAACTGAGAAGTTAAAGATCTTAATACATTCTCTATGATTACTTGTTCATAAAGGGTTTCTCCACAAGCTTTCATCTCATTAGTGATCAGAATCACTCTAGAGATGTACTCAAAAACCTTCTCGTTGTCCTTCATGTTGAGATTCTCATATTGCTTTCTTAGGGAATGAAGCTTCACACTCTTTACTAACGTGTCACCATTATAACATCTGATCAGTGTGTCTCACGCAACCTTTGTTGTTTCAGAGTCAGCAATCTTCTCAAACACATTCGCATCCATACACTGATGGATGTAGAACAATGCTTTATGATCTTTCTTTCTTATCGCCTTCTGCATTATCTTCTGTGCCTCAGTCGCGTCTGCTGCTAATGAAGCATAGCCATCGATGATAAGATCTAACACATCTTGAGAACTGAACAACACACGCATGTGGATCTTCCAACGATTCCAGTTTTTGCATCAAACACTGGAAGTTTGGAAATGATATCGTTGTTTCCGTTCATCTTCAATCTTGTGTAGTTCACTCAAAAACTCACTAACACGCGTTTCCCAAATCCCACAGAATCAGAAAAATGTGATTCTCAATCACACAACACCTCACTGTTCACTCGTGTCTTCCGTGGTTTCCCGTAAATTTCGAACCGAAACTCTGATACCAATTGTTGGTGCACAAAGAAGAGATGAAAGACAAAAAAAAAATATATTAAATGATCCTATAAAATAAGAAGTAATAGATACATTGACCTATCTACTACTAAACTATTTATACATAAATATTATAGTATAATAAAATACTAAAATATCTTCCAACAATAACATCATATTTAAGTGAACACTTCTTAATAAAATTTTAACCAATTTCTATTAAAAAAATAGTTTTGATTTCATGCAAAATGAGTTGTAAATCCCTATTGATAAAATTTGTTCTTACCTCTAATAATATATAACATTTAACATTTATATTTTAGTAAAAACATAAGAACATGTTTTCACTAATAAATATAAATACAAATATGTAAGAACACTTGAATTCGTTTTTTACAAGTAGTAAATCACTTGGTGTTATCCTTTAGAAGTTTGAACAAGCAAATCGTGATAAATATAAAACGAGGGTGCGGGTGCTTTTCAACTTAGCAAAAGAGTCAAACTCATCAAACCTTACCTCACTCACCACCTCACAGATACTTTCTTCACATGACACCGCACAACGCATTCTCCTTTTTATTTAATTTTTACACCTTAGTGCCATAGTAGTGGACACTTCTACAATTAATAACAATCTCTACTTTTTTTTTTAATTCAAAGACCGAAAAAGAAAACGTATTAAAATTGTTAAAATAAATATTTTTATATTATCTGAATTCAAACCTACTATTTTACTCTCTCCCGCATGTGAAAATAAATTAGTTTATAAATGTTCTTTTAATTTATGAGCGTAAGTAATGACATAGCACTTACCATACCACTCCACACAATGACAAAAAATTGATCTCTAAAAAACTAAACATATTTTCTACCATTAAAAAAAATAAAAAAACAGAAAAGCAAAAATGAATAAAAGCACTGTCTCTCCAAAAGAAAACGACACTTGTTGTTAATCTTGCAGCACGAGTTACTTCACTATCTCTTCCTTTCCTCTTTCAAACCCTAAACATTTCTCAAATTTCCCCTCTCCCCAACCCAAATTCAAACCAAATTCTCCAAAAAATCCAATAACAATACAATAACCCGTTTTCTCACTTCTCAAATGGGTTCACCAAACACGCCGCAAGGAAATGGCTTCTGAACTTCTTCTTCTTCTCCCACTTCCTCTGCATTGTACTTCCAATGGGAAAATCCGAAGAAGAACAACACCTGCCACGTGGCGCCACCTCATCGGATCGACCGCAGAATGCGGAAACCGAGTGTCGGCGGTGTTGTTGTTCTCAGATTCAGAAACTCCTTGGGTTCAGATGCATTCTCGTTTTCCTCTTCTCTCTTGCTTTGTTCCTCTCTGCTTTGTTCTGGTTGCCGCCGTTTCTTCGCCTCGCAGATCACAAGAATCTCCACGATAATTCCAAATATAAAGGTTCGTTTTTTCCTTCGATTTTATTCTATTTTTAGCCCTCTTTTTTCGATTTGTCGCTGGCTGCATTGTTTTCTGGATTTACTACTAGATCTGTTTCTGTTTTTGGTTTCAAGAATTAAACTTTGGATTTTTTTTCGTTTATTTAAATTTTTAATTCCGTTTAATTAGGGATAATCTTTTGAATAATTTTGCTTAATTGGGTATTTTAAGTATTAATTACTCGTTTAATTTTTTTTACTATGGTAGTTTTGTTTATTAGCTAATTAAAGAGGTAACCTTTGTTTGTTGGATCATGTTTTTTTATTTATTTTTCTATTTTGGTAATTACTTTCATTACACCTATTTTTAGTAAGGTTTTGATGATTTTGAATTTGCGCTTTTGAAAGTTGTTTTGAATTGCGTTGGCTAGTTTTAACATTATCTTTTTTACGTTTTTATACTCTTTTAGGACGTTTGGAATAATATTGGTATGAATGATGACAAGAAATGGATTTTCTATTTCATTATAAGTTTCTATGAATAGAATGGTTTCCTTGTTTTAGAGTTTGACACACAAAGTTTATGACTTCTGACATGAATCACTTGACTAGTTTGGGTTGATAATTGATATCATCACGTATTGTAACTGTGTCCCTATTTGTAAAGCTCTCTAGGCTTATGCTTAAGAATTAAAAAAAGTAGTATTATGCATTGTTGAGAAGAGCTGATAGAGACTCGGGTATAATGGGGTGCTCAAGTCCAACATCGAGTAGTTTGAGATGATTGAGTGAGTATTTTAGAGTTGGTTGTTGGTGGTTCAGGACAATTTGATTGTTGGTGGTATAGGAAGAGCTAAGTACAGAAGGGCTGAATGGAAAAGGCCAAGCAAAGCATTGTAGACAGTGTAGCAGCCGGGTAATTGGCTCTCTGGGGCGGTCCTATGATAGAAATTTGGGTCTTATAGGGGGGTCATCGAGTAGTATGAGATGCTTGGTGGGGTATCTAACTGACCTGGTTCTTCCCCAAGGGCTTAAGTAGGCAACAATGCAGTTATTGCCATGTGATTAGAAGGCCATAGATTGAGTCGTGCAAAGTAAGGCTGTGTACAATAGATAGGCAATGATATTGGATCTGGCCTTTCCTGGACCTCATGTGGTGGGAGGTGTGATTAAGCTGGGAATGTGACATCAAACTTAAATCCTGAAATCTTAAAATTTTAAAGCTTTATGGTTGATGATAAATTTTTCAATATTATGACATTGCTTTGCCGTGGCATTGTGATGCCATATGCTCGGCCACTAGTTAGTTCTCATTGTTATTCCATTCACTACAAACTTCTACCTCATATATGTCTGTTGCACTCAGCACTCTTTTTAACCATTGGAGATTCCGAATGTCCAACTGCCACACAATTTCTCTTACAAATTTAGGGATTAGCAAACATGTTATAAGTCGTAAGTGATTGCTTGAAGAATAGCAAGAGCTTATGCGAGGAAATGAAATAGCAATATTAATTGGTGTAACATTGGATTACAAAAAGAAGTTGTGGAGACGGGGACAATCAACTAGCGGCAACTGGAAATTTGGGTATTGAGTTTCAATATTTAGATGAAGCTGTTGGTAATTGGGATAACTGTAGTTCCTTAATAATATGAATCTTGCGTTGTGCCTCTGTATAACATTATGCTTTAAATCTCCTTATTCAATTTCTGTTCCGTTCTCTAGAAAAAACAAATTCAGTATCTCCTCACATGTCAGCACCAAATTTAAACTATTTTACTGAATTTTCTTCAAACTTGTATGCTCCTATATGTCTCATTTATGAATAATTTTTGACCCGTTGTAGTGTTAAAGTTCTATCACTTATAAAATATATATGCTCCTATATGCCATTGCCAGTTTGCCACAACTGACAAAATCAATCTCTTTCAATAATAATGCCAATTTATAAAATCTATTTGCTCAATGATATTATTATTAATTTGGCAGGTCATGATATTGTTGCAAGCTTTATTGTTAAAAAGCCAGTCGCTGTGCTAGAAGATAACAAATTGCAGCTCGCAAGGGAAATTTTTGATGAGATAGAAGCTCCCTCTACTACAACAGTACACCTCTCTCTTCGTAGTTTCCTTTAATGCCCTATCTTAATATTCACATGTTGACGCCATTCTCCTTTTTTCTTTAAAAAATTTCAGGTGAACATCTTGTCTCTAGACCCGTTACCTCAGCCAAACAGGACAAAAGTGGTATTTGCAGTTGATCCTGATGGTGGTGAATACTCAGAAACGTCTTCTGCCTCCATAAGTTTGATAAGATCATTATTTACATCCTTGGTAATACACCAATCGAATCTGCAGCTCACTTCATTCGGAGATCCCTTATTTTTTGAAGTGCTGAAATTCAAAGGAGGAATTACTGTAATTCCACAACAGAATGCATTTCCTTTGCAGAAAGTGCAAACAAAATTCAACTTTTCTTTGAATTTTCCCATTTATCAGATACAAAGAAATTTCAATGAGCTGACAAATCAGCTAAAGTCTGGATTACATTTGACATCCTATGAGGTTTGTCGAACTTCTTTCTTTTCTTACTGTTTCTATGGTATGTTCTTTATTGTAATCATTTTTTCATTTGTACTTAGTTTTTTTATACATTTGAGTTCAACGTTCAATTCTGATTCTATTTTACTGCCCCTGTCTCACAATAATTGATCACTTCACACATAATAAGAAAAATATATAAATGAAAAAGAGACAATAATATTTTTATTAAATTACCCTTGTCAAGTACACATGTATTTATCATTACTCTTACGCAATATATCACTTATTTGTTATAGGCTATGCCATGCTGATATTGATTGAGTTTACTGGTTGGTTGCAGAACTTGCAAGTCGTCTTATCAAACTCTGAAGGTTCAACAGTAGATGCTCCCACGATTATTCAATCCTCGGTTCTACTTGCGGTTGGGATTCCTCCATCCAAACAGAGGCTAAAGCAATTGGCGCAAACCATCATGGGACCTCATAATCTTGGCTTGAATAACACGGAATTTGGTAGGGTTAAGCAAGTCAGACTCTCAACCATCTTGCAGCACTCCCTTAACGGCAGTGATACTCGCTCCGCGAGATCACCTGCTCCTGCTCCTGTGCCTCATTCCTCACACCATCACCACCACCACCACCATCATCATCACCATCACCACCATCACGATACCCATCTAACTCCTGCAACTTCTCCTATACCTGCACCTGCACATAATCCTTGGGAGGGTGTAACTCCACCTGAAGTTGGTTCTCCCGCATCTACAAAAAGTGTACCTGCACCACCGAAAAGTTCTCAAGCTCATCCTCCTGATTGTCCATTTGAGCGTAGAAAAAGGTCTAGGCGTAGTGCTGTGAGAAATACTTATCTAACACCTGCCATTGCCCCTAGCATTGAACATCATCACCATGTTCCTATTTCATCACCAAAACCACAGGTTGAACCCCCTCCCCCTACACATACCTCTCATTCGGTACCTGCTTTGAGTCCTTTGCCAAATGTAGCTTTTGCTCATGCTGAGCCCCCGCCTAAGAACGGACCTGCTGCAGAACAACCTAAGAACGGACCTGCTGCAGAACAACCTAAGAGCTCATGTGAGTAAGCTTAATGATTTAAAAGTAGTTTTTTTGTTCAATGCTAATGCTTTATTACTTGTCCGTTGCAAACTAGAGACAACTTATTTTACAATCTTTTTGCTTGCATTTAGAACATTCATTATCTATTAGTGATATTAAAACTGGTTGTGGGTAGTGGTTACTCAGTTTATGAATGAAGTTATAAGTAGTTAGCCTAATGAAGTTCGGTTTAATGGGAAGTTGAAAAGGAGGGATCTCACATTGTTTTGCTTTCTTTATCCACATCAAGTTGACGCGAAGAATTGCTTTCTTTCGTACCCATTCACAAGGAAGAACCCCGGGGGTGGGGGGCGGCATTTCCTAAAATATTCCTTGCTCCTCTGGTGCAAGTGGAAGTGCGCTTCGCTAACTCGAAGCGCTGTAGTAGCGCCTAAGCCCTATGTGCTATAATGCTGAGCCATCCATAACCGACTCATCCCCCTAAAAAAATTCTCTCGTCTATTCGAACATGCTGGTTGCTTTATTTTTTGATCTGATTTCATTTCTTCTATGTCTTTTTTTTTTTTTCCTTTCAAACTCAACCCTAGTCAAAAACCTCTGAAAGGGTCACCAAAACTCGAGTTACAAAGTCAAGTTCCAATTAATATTATCCTCCCTTTGGTCCTATTTATAAGAGAAATTTTATTTTTTAGATTAATTGAATAGTTAATGTATCTGATCTATTATCTTGTCTATTATTAAACCAGATACATTGATTATTCAATTTAATCAATGAATCTAAAAAGTAAACTATAAATAGGACAAGAGGGAATAATAATTTTGTTTTTTCTCATCTTTTAGTACATTTTTCTTTTTTGTTTCTTATGTATTATTATTTCTTGTGCACTGATATCTTGTTTTTTTGCAGCTTCTGCAGGTTGTCTTGGAACCGTTAAATGGACATCTTTAATATTTGTTGTACTTGTGTTACATGTGTGACAAAGTGCTAAACTTGTACCATTTGGAAAGATAAAACTAGATTACTATGAATGTGTGAGCTACGCAAAGTGTGAGCTACACATATATGAGTGGATATAAGTTGTCATCATTCGTGTAAATAGTTGATTAAAAATATCCAGATGGTGTATGTACCCATTTTCAGGTCAAAGTCCATAAGTGGCAGGCCTTGATTACATGCATTACCTTTGTTTTGTTATGTAAGATGGAAAAAAGGTAAAAGAAAACAGAGAAGAAAAGTATCAATTTTTCTTTTAGTTTCTAATCCTTTCAATAAATTTCTATGTATGGTTGTATTAATCAGGTAAAATGTTAACGTTGGATGAGGTGACATGGAAAATGTTCCACCAATGGCAATGATGGCAATTGAAATCACGGTTTTTTTGTTGCAATGTTAATGCTTCTAGTTCATCTCTTCCCCTGTTTTTCTATCTTCACGAGCTAAATAGCCAACTTGTAACCATTGCCAATGAACATACTTTTTCTAATATCTATTTTGGAAAATCACTACGTTTTTTCCTTCTATAGTAGTCTAATGATCATAATTTTATTATTTAAATATGAAGAGATGTTGTTAGATTTGTACTCTGTCAATTAGGGGTGGTAAAAAGGGTTACGCACTCGTGCTTTTGTAACCGGATGTTCTGTCAATAAGGGTTGGTAAAAAGGGTAAGGGTTGGTAAAAAGGATTTTGTTCTGTCAATAGGGGTTGGTAAAAAGGGTTTGGTTTTAGATTCACAACCTTTAATGTGTCTACTCTATTTCTGGGCACATATATTATCATCCGTCATATTTTTTGTGTGACAGGTCAAAGTCTTAGTCTTGTACTTTTAACTAAGTCCATCGGGTTTAGTCCAAGTTATTTTAAAATCTTTTGCAAAGCTTTTATCATGTTATGTAATAAAAAATCGATCACTTTAGATTATTTGGACAATTTCATGATAAAATTGACTTATTCAAAATAGAGGGTTTTGGGAATTACTTGGTACTAATTTTTTACCGAAATGAAATGAAAGTTAGTTTTGTTTTTTTAGGTGGTTTATTTATGAAGCATTGTACTATAGTAGCTCCCACCTTTCATGTGAAGGGTGTCGTAAATTGCACATGATCTCTGCTCGTGAAGAATAATAAAAAAATAAAATAAAAATATTTAGTCATATTTTGAAAAAATATGACACCGAGGCGAAAAGATCCTGTCATGTGAAATCGCCTCTGACTTTTATAGGACGATTGAATGAAGCCACCTTTCAATGCGTAATAGGATGAGGTAATGTCCACTTGTTCCGAAATCACGGATAATTCAACTCCATTGTAATTGTAGATTGAGGTCAAATTATTTAAATTACAAGAGTGTACACCCAAAAGAAATAAAAGTGAATATATATATATATATATATATATATATTCTTCATGTCTATTTAAATACATCTCTTCATTAAGGATTCGTTCGGTTAGGCTTTATTTTATGAGAATGAGACGTAGTTCCATATTCATATTATGCGGTTTTTAATTATATTTGTCAATTTTAAAATTTGTTTTACAGATTATAAATATTTACAAAATTATAAATACAAAGTATCAACTTTTATAAATGGATCTAAATAGTATTTTCAAATATTATAAAAATAATACACTTATTTGATATCATATAAGTACTTATAATCCGTGTGTTTGTTTATAAAAATGTTTTTAGTTTATTCTTGTTTATAAAAATAATTGTGTAAATAGTAGATTTTTTTTTTCATATATAAAAATATTTATAACTTATTCTTGTTTCTAAAATAAATTGTATCAATAATAAATTTTTTCTTGTTTATACAAATATTCGTAATTTATTCACGTCTATAAAATCAATTTTATCAACAGTAATTTTTTTTCTATTTATAAAAATATTTGTAATTTATTTCTGCTTATAAATATAATTGTATTAACGATAAACTTTTTCACGTTTACAAAAAAAATAAAAAAATTTATTACTGATTATAAAAAAATTTAAATCAATAATAAAAAAAATTTTGTTTATAAAAATTTGAATCAATGATATATTTTTTCCAATTTATATCAATAAAACATTGTTCCCATTGGTCCTGAGCTCTCTAAGATGTTTGCAACAACAAAGAATACGTTTCAAGAATAAGAATTAAAAATGATACTACAAAAATAAAGGAAGCAAATGTGTACTATGTTTGATTTTTTATTTTTAAATAATCACTTTTTAAAAATATTTTCTTAAATAATCAATTTTTCAAAAAATTTACCAAAATGATTATTTTTCAAACAAAAAATTTTCGTCACACAGGAATAACCACTCTGTGTGGCGCATACATGCATTTTTAAAAGGAGGCGCCACCCCACATGACTTGTCCTCCTCTATAAAGTCATGCAATGTGGCACATACATGTGTTTTTAGAGAGGAGGCGCCACCCTCCCTGGCTTGACAGTGTTATTGCATATTTTTTTATAAATAAAATAAAAGTAACTAAAAAAATGGTATACTAATATTTAATATTATACAACGCATGAATACATTTTTTGGATGTCCCCTCAACCTAAGCGGGTCCCAATATGACATAAACGGTCGCGCTTTTGCCTCGTCCCTTGTCTCACTCCTCTCTGTTGATTTTTTTGAGGTGTTTGTGGTCTGTTCTGACTCGTTTGATTATGAGGTAGTTGATGTGATGGTCCTGGTACATCAGGATCATACATCTCATCGATCATTTTGCCCCACTATGCTGTGTTTCCAAAGAGATCGGTGCCAATGTTGTTGAAGTTTGGTCTTGTTGGTTGAGATATATGTGGGTGGGGTGATTGATAGTATTTGGATGTTGGATCGTGATGGAAACGAAACAATGATTCTTGTCGTGTATGAAATCTGTATGATGGTTGGGTACTTCGATGGTGTGATGTTTGACTGTATGTAGGTTGAATGGTATGGTAGAAAGGAGATGTATCATATGTGTCTTGGGTGTTGTGGTAGGATGAGGATGGTGCATATTGTTGCTGGTGGGTTGAGTCATGCTCTTGGTATTGTGTTTGTGTGTGTGGCATGAATTGATGACGAGTTTAGTTGAATGAGGTGATGTATGGTTGTTGGGTTTGAGTGGGTTGACATTGTGGTTGGGTTTGGTATTGTTGAGGGGTTGGTTGTTGGGGTTGGTATTGTTGAGGGGTTAGTTGTTGGGGTTATTGTTGGGCGTATGTTGCAGCTCTTTGGCGTGGGTCGATCAAATATGTCTCTTGAGACATAAACAAATTTGTTGAAACCGATGTGTACCATCTCAAATATTGGAGCGTCGGTTTTAAGTCATCTTCCAAGACCGGTTCCCTTAGGACCAATTCACGTCTATGCCTCCATTGACGACATTGATTTTTAGCGAAGTCTCTCAAATCGTTAAATCCCCATTGGTCCTCAACTCTAAGTAGATGCCATTGGCCTAAACATGTTGGGGGGTCGGGGATACCCCGTTGCATGCCGAACTGTAGCTTCACACGATCACTGTGGTGCATCTCCACAGTAGGGAATCTGATGAGTGCTATTTTTGCATTCCAGACTTCAACATCAGGAGGGTTAATCTCATGGTCGATATTCTTATACGGCCTCCATACAAATTATAGAGGAAAAAAGTTATATAAAATATTAAATTTAATTAACCTATTGAATGCGTTGTATAAAATATGTAAGTTTAATACTTCTTCGGGTCCAACATGATCAATAAGATTTCGGTAAACTACTATTGCATTTCTAGGGGATTTGTTGTAATTCATCCCAGGAACAAACCACCTACATAGAAAAAATGGGTAGTAAATTAATACATTGCATGTCTCGGTATATAATATGTAAAATTTATGGTTTTGTAATCTTACTTTGTAGAAAAGGGGAAGACGAATGACCATGTGTTGCGGGGGGCGAGTGTCAGCATTCTCGACCAGCATTTTAAGTGTGTACATTAATACCTTCTCTGTGTTGGCAAAGGAGGATTATTGGCCTGCTTATCAAGGGGACATTGTTTGGCACAATGAGCAAATTCGACGGAAGAAAAATGGGCGCCCGAAAAGCACTCGTATTAGACCTGAAATGGATACGTCTAACAAAATGATAAGATTATGCAGCACATGTCGTCTTCCCAGACACAATCGGAAAAATTGTCTGAATATTGGGTCTAGCTCTGCAACCTAACTTTTTTATAGCAAACTTTTCGGAGTGTTTAATTTGTTGTACGCAATATATTTCAATTTAAATTCGAGTTATCATTTTGTGTTCAATTTATCATTCGATTACAACAACTTTCACATAATGACACAAAAAATTACAATACCACATACTCGGGACAAAAATACAACAACATGATAAACAGACAAAACAACTAAACAAATCATAATATCTAAGAGATAAAAACCATCAACACAATTTCGTCTGGTCCAAGCATCATCATCATGACACCAGCGTCACATCTCACCTTTTTCCATGATCGGCTTACTCCATTTTCATTCCTCACTGTGATGTGCCTTTCTATTTTTCTGATTTATTCACCTTCAGGAATGTCTCCTTCCAACCAGCAAATCAAGTGCCTTTGAAAATGCTCGAACGTCTGGGTGTTCCAGAGTTTGATCTTCACCAGAGGCTTTGTCGCTGAAAAAATAACATGCGCATCTCTTTTGATCAGTGAAAGCCTTGGCAAGGGAGTTGAAGACATTTTCTAAGAGTTATGTAACAAATCGTGTGGAAAAATGAAGAGGATGGGTGGTTGTATTTATAAAAAATGCAATAATACTGTCAAGCCAAGGAGGGTGGCGCCTCCTCTCTAAAAACACATGCATGCGCCACACTGCATGGCTTTACAAAGGAGGACAAGCCATGCAGTATGGCGCCTCCTCTTAAAAATGCATGCATGCGCCACACAGAGTGACTACTCCTCTCTGTGGCGAAATTTTTTTGTTTGAAAAGTGGTCATTTTGGTAAATTTTTTGAAAAAGTGGTTATT